GAAGTGATTAGATTCAGGATGCATTTGGGAGCAGAGCCCACTTGCTGTAGTTTGAATATAGGGAATGAGGGGGAGAGGGGAATCAAATATCACGTCCAGGATTTTGCCTTGAGCTGGCTAGATGGGAGCACATTTACTGAGAAAAGATTGGGTGGGGGGCGCCAATTAATAGGGGAGGAAATTAGAAGTTCTCTTTTAGACATGTTAAGTTTAGGATGCTTATTAGATGCCTAATTGGATCCTGACTGCAAGTCTATGTATCTATAGTCTCAGTAAACTCAGGAGCTCTGTGGGTAATCAGCATTGTTCTCTTTGCTTGCTGTCCTGCGTATTCCTAGATTAAGGGAATAATAGAAAAACATTCACTTTTCTTTCATTAAACGAATATTTATTTTAAACATCTAAGCCATAAGCATTCATGCCAGGCGCTGTTCTAGCAGTTGTGGACAGGGCAATAAACAAGATGGAGTTGTATTTTGTATTAAACTTTTTCCCTTCCAGGTTTAGCTTCAAAAGCGTGGATGAAAATGGGTGATGACTCATTTCCGTTCTTTACTAGTTCATATAAGGCTGGTGGTCAGTTGGTCTCTGTTGCAGCACACTCTCTAGTACTCAGTAGAAATATTCAGGAGCAAGCTTAGTAGCGTGAACGTACGTCACCTGCCAAAATCCATTAGTAATGAATACAAAATGAACAGCACTATTTAATATATTTTTCCTCCCATTTTTTCATCTTATCCTTTCATTCTCCTTTCACTTATTATTTTATAGAGTACCAGAGTGAAATAAATGGTTTTGAGCTCTTGATTCATAGAAATGGTTCAATACAGAAATCATTCCATTTACGTTTACCAAAGAATCACCAAAATACTTCTGAGTAACTGGTTATTGTAGCCTTCATGAAATTTCATTAGCAGCAAATTGAGGTTACTGAAACTATGAAAGTCTTGGTGCTTTTCAATACTGATGTGATAGATTTTGATACCACTTGCTTAATGAAGTTTCTGTTTTTCCTCTATAGAATTCTAAACCAAAGGGAAAAGCAGCGATAAAAAAGTTTCTCATTTGTGCTTTGAACTAATTCTGGCTCTAATTAAGCTTCAGGGGAACCAAATTTGAGACCCTAAGATACGGTTAGCCTGACTGCTCAGCTTCACTTAATATTCTGCTCCCCCTCAGTCATCTTCCTTAAAACTGGTTCCTCCAGTTTCCATCTGAATGATGTTATCATCAAAGTGAGTTGTGCCAAACTGAGATTATTGTGTGCTATAGTCATAGCCTGGTTTCCTGTCTGGTGAAGCAGTGTTTCATGGTGGTTAATAGCACTGGCTTTAGTCAATTTGACTGGGATTTTAATTCTGGCACTGCCATTCATTGACTGATGACCCTGGGCAAGACTCTTATTCTATCGGTACCTTGATTTCCTTGTCCTTGTTTATGTGTGAGACTTAAATGAGCTAATGTAGGTAAAGTACCAAGCACCGAGCCTGTCACAGAGTAGGCATTTGTTCATACACTTCCCAACTATTTGAATGCCATTCACTGTTCTAGCCTCTGGGATAAAACAGAGCTGAATGAGAAAGAGTCCCTGACTTCATGGATCTTAAATTCAGGCACTCCATGACCTCAATTCCTTTTCTTATAGTTTTCTTTCCTTTTGGATAGCTCTGGATAAAACAGTAATATAGGCAAAAATGAGCGATTTATATTTTATTTTTCCCTTTGTGTGCATTTGGCCAGAGTCTATGTGGCCCACCTCATGTTCCACCCATGTACCCCAAGGCTGCCGGTTTAGGCAGAGCCTCCACTATGGGCCTTCTCTGCACTGCTCTCCACCACCCCGTTGACAGCCACCTCCTTATTCTGTGTCTTATCCCCTCCCTTCTCAGTTACACAAGGCAACTGACAAAGAGTTTCTCATAGCTGACAGATCTAATACATTGCCCTATTGAGGGCTTTGCTTAGTTCTCCAAAAATGAATTTCCAGAAGTAGAATGTTGTAATTTGTGGAACGTATGAGACAGCAGAAGGATGAGAACTGCTGTGTCTGCCTGTTTACAAAGCACCATGTTTTGTTTATTGAACCGAGGCTATAAAATGACTTTCTTCATCTCTTCCCCTACCTTCACCATGCTTGTCCACTTCCCTTCCTTTCTCTTATGCTCATGTCATTCACTTTGCACAAAATATATCCTGAAGCCACCTTAAATGCCTCCTCTGACCTTTCCAGTTCAAAGAAATCTCCCTCCTTCTGTACCTCTCTGGCCAGTCTTCCTAATATTGTCTGCTTACTTGTTATTTCTTCCTTACTTCTCTGCATCTGAAAACTCATTAGGAAATGTGTGAATGTGTGGGGGTAAAATCCAAGCAGGCAGCTGAGAGCTAAAGCCAGGTCAGAGGTCAAGCTAGTTCATTTCCTCCTTTCCTCCCTTTCCTTAAAATTTATTTTAGAAAATTGAAACAAGTTTTTAATATAACCAGGTAAGAAATAATAGTTACAATACATAGATTACAATGTAATAACTGTGCTATTTATAAAAATTGTTTGAGCTATTGTAAAAAAGCAATTTATGGGGTCAGCTGAGTGGCTCAGTTGGTTAAGAGCTCGCTCAAGAGTACGAGCTCTGAATAACAGCAGTTTGAGTCCCACCCCGAGCTGAGCAGCCATTGAGCTGCCAACAGGTGGCAGGATGGCTCAGCTAAAAAGAAAAGAAAAAAAAAAAGCAACTTATGATACACTATAGGTTTCTAGTAAAGTTTTATGATGAACAAGATTTTAAGTGTATGCAAAGACTATGTACACAAAATAATTCACAGAGATTAGAAGCTTATTTTGAGGACTTCTTGAGCGAGACCCCAGGTGAGTGACTCTTTGTTCCCTCATGATGCATCATGTATGTGAGCAGTGGCGTTAGGTTTAAATAAAATCAGTAACCAAAACATTAGTTGGGCGAAAAATGAGGGACATCACAGGAGGATAAAAAGCTACAGGGGTAGAATTCTGGGAAAGGGCTGAGACAGTTTTGGAGAATGGTGCTCATACTAGTTCCATGCTTGGGCACAGAGATTGGCTGCTTTGTGGTTTCACAGAATCAGGGAGGCAAAGAACCTAGAGACCCAGAAAGAAGGCCTTCCCATGAGAGACTGGATTTTCACAGTGGTGGAGGAAGGGTATCAAGGGACAGTTCTAGTAAAGACAAAGAGAAGAGATTTAAGAACTTAGCATCCTTGGTGGACATGCTCATAATCCCTTTCTTTGCCCATATCCCTTTCTAACCCCCTTATCCAAAAGAAAGTCTGCAAAGAGAAGGAAGAAGATGGAGAAATTGTGCAGAGAACCAGAAACTAGAAGCCATGTGAATCCTGAGAGATGAAATGAATTGTCTCAGTTCCTTTGTGATTTCAGTTCCCATCAGTCCTGTTGGTACACTGCCAGAGATTCTGTGGATCTATAGGATTATTTGAAGCTCCCTTTATATCCTATGAGTGAGTCACTGTTTTTTCAATGAAAAGAGTTCTAATTAGAACAATATCTGATATGTTGTTGAAAATTGGTGGTCTCTTGTTATCCCAGGAACTTAAGTTCCTAGTCAGAGATGCAGGGAGAACTATACTTGTTTCTTCACCCCAGGTAACATAGTTGGAGCTAGTTTTTCATTTTCAGTAGGGAGGTGTGTTTGGGCATTCTTCATACAGTTGGGTTGGAGTTAAGGTAAGGCAGAAGGGGACAGCTTTTATAGATTGGCCCGAATATAGATTTATGGATGTAATGTTTAGAGCAAAGCTAAGCTGCTGAAACAAAGGGAAACTTTAAGCACAATAGCTTAAATAAGATTAAAGCTTATCTCTTTTTAAATAGTCATAGTGATAGATGAGTTCTTGTAATTAAGCTCAGTTGTGTCAGTTGTCCTTGTTTACATGGTAACTGGTACCACGATCATGTTCCCATCATGTAGGAATAAAGAAAGAGCACCACAGGTTTAAGGCCAGAAGCTAGACTTCTGACACATACTTACAGTCATAGCCTATTAGGCAAAAGTCAGTTATTTGACCATATGTAGCTGCAAGGAAGGCTGGCTAATGTGCTGTATACTTTGTGTCTACAGACCCAGCTACATAACTTTTGTTATTCTGTTGGGTTGTTGGAAAAGTCATGATGTATTTTTTGTTTTTCGTTGCAAAAATGGGTCATAACTTTTCCGACAACCCAATATCATTGAAAGAAAGGAGGAGGAGCAATAACTCTGTGGTTCCCAGGAGCCACTGGGAGAATATGGAGTGAGAAGGAGTAAGATGGAGCACCATCTCCTGAAAGATTAACATGGTTTGTGTGCTCCTCTCCCTCTAATGCTGACAGAGTTTGGGGTTTCATTCCTTTATTTGTTTACAATTTTAGTTCACTCATTCATTTCATTTTTTTATGTGTGCTTTTTGTTTTTATTGTCAGACATTTTGGACTTCTAATTCACTAAAAGGCAATCAAAAGTTCAAATTAAATGTTGTCCACTTTTATATGACCATTAATAGCTTTATTGGGTATTGAGGGGGTGTCAACAACTTTCTAAAAAAATAAAAGGGTCAGTTATTGCTGATTTAGCCCTCTGGATGCATTAGCAAGGAAAGTGTGTTTCACTCTGATAAGCCTCTAGGGATCAGAAATGACTATTTCAAAGCAGAAAGAAATGCCAGCTAGTGGCTGCAGGTGGAGGATAAATGTGGAATATATGAGACACACTTTTATAATTTATTTAATTCTTCAAAAGCTGTTGTGTGATAACTCTGCAGGGGTCATGGTAGGGCAGGCTTTTACCGAGCACCATAAAGGCAATCAGACACAGCAAAGCATAGGAAGGTCATAAGAACCCAAAGCTGAAGGTCCTGGAGATGCTCATTCTGTTACAAACAGTGTGTCAACAATTACCTCAATAGTGCGTTAAGAATAACCTGACTTTAACATGTGCAAAACTCCTATAGTTTTCACATTTATTTGTTTTCTCTAGATTGGGCTGGGGACTAAGGAGCAGAAAAATCAAAGTACTGTGCTATGATCCCTGGTCTCAGTGGGGCTCATTGCCCCATTATGGGTATGGCAAGGTGATGGGACCATCTATGTCCTCAAATCAGAAGTGACTTGCTTTAAATGGAACTCAGGTAAGATTCCATGAGGTCATATGGCCATGATTCTTGGGAGACATTAGAAAGAGTGAGGCTGCTGGGGAAAAAGAATGGGGAATGATTTTAGGTACCTAATGTCATTTATTCTTCAAAACACACCTGAAAACAGACTTCTTAGAATCTCTCTGGATTCCAAGGTCTGTTGCCTGCTCTGATATTCAATACTTCCCTGCCTTCCTAGCCTTGTCTAATATGTGGTTTGGAACTATCACTTGACCTTAGCTTTGACCTTAGCTTTTGGCACAGGTATTTAGAAAATGTGCCCTTTGTAGAATGCATCATTAATTCCAGGTTCCACCTTCTGATCACCTGCATCGGAATTTCCCCCAGAGCTGATCCACTCTTGTGCCTAACCTTTATTTTCTACCTCAGCATTGCCTCAGGTCTTCTGAGCCTAGTTTTCATTCTCTTTTTATAAACTGTTGTTTCAAGTTTATTTCACAGTACAAGTGGTCAGGCACACTTTTCAATTGTGCTGAATGGACCTGGAGATGATACAGGAAGTTGGGAGAGAAAGATTATTAGGAATTTAAGGTAAGGAATCAGGGTAGAAGTGAGTTCTGAGTGAGGCCTTAAAGGACAAAGTGTGTCCAAGGTGGAATGACAGCTTTGTGATGCTGTGGAGTGAGAGCAGCTGAATGGTCTGGTGACACATAGAAAACAGTGCTAGGTAAGGTGGAAGTTTTTGGAAGAATGTGTCTGAACCCTAGGTCTGAACACTCATCCTTTTCTCTAGATACCTGTGTATATTTCTTGCTTCCAGTTTTGGATGACAGCTTTTGAACTTCCTGTTGACAGGCTTTCCGGGTTTTGAGAATGATTCGCAGCTTTTAATATACAAGTCTATTCTTTAGAGGACAGCCTATATCCAATTTTTGCTCATAAAATGCTCTATTCCTTTGGGTTTCATTTTGTTCAGTCCTAATTAGGGGTTAGGTGGTTAAAAAAGGTGGGGAAGAAGACCTTCTTTCAGTAGAGAAGTCAAAGACAATTCCACAGTAAACTTTAAGGGATTTAGAGTATTGTTGGATAAAGTAAAACACTGAGAAAATAAAATAAATGTATAAGACAAAAAAAATGCAAGGTTAGGTTTTACCATGTAATACCTATCTCTTTTTAATATTATGATTTAAGTATTAAATACATTCTGTCTTATAGAAAGGTATCACATTGAATATTTTAGAGTATACTGTCTATGGTTTAGTGACAGATCATTAATATGGCACTCTCTAGAAGATTAATTTTTCCAAATGCTCAACACATGGACCCCAAAAGCGAGTTGCATACTTATTTTTCATGTTACATTTGCTGATGGAAGTTATATCTAGTGTTAAAACATGTTTGGCAGATTCAGGAAGATCCTTTATAGACTAAAATTTGACAATGTCCTTTTAGCTTACAATGTCACGCTACGTGTGGAGATGTGGGAATGGAAAATGTCATTCCGGGGAAAACACTGACACCTGGAAGGCTTCTGTCAACTTCCAACAAAAGCACTGTGAAAAACTGCAGATCAGATGCTATGCAAATGTGTTTCTATTTAGCATATTCCATCAAGTACACTGTATCCTGTTATTTTGATACACACTGGAAAATAATTTTAATACCTATTTTAGGGTTTTTTCTACATGAATACTTCTCATGAAAGAAGTTTCTTTGATAAATTTTTATAATTATTGTTTATTAATATAGCAGAGGCTCAGGTCTGAGCATTCCTGACCACACTGCTATCCTTTCAATCTCTAGTGCACTTTATCTATGCTTCACTGATGCCACTCGTCATTTTCAGCTTCTTTTACCTTTTTGTTTCCTTTCTCTTATTTGACTGTGAACACCTAGAAGCCAGGTTAATTTCACCCATTTCCTATTTAATGTCTTGCTTAAAATTGGTGCTCAAGGGAACAGATTGTTATGACATTATTTTTCATTTTGTATTGTAAGCTCCTTGAGGTCCACAGAGAATCTCATTTATAACCCCCAGCACCTATTACATTCCTTAGTCTGCAGAAGAATTCAATAAACAACTGTCCTGTGAATCAATGGGAATTTTATGCAAATGCTACATTTTATCTTTTATTCCTATTTGTCTCAGTGCTTTCAAGAAGAGAGGAGCCGGGCCGGCTGAGTGGCGCATTGGTTAGGAGTTGGCTTGAGACACCAGCTCTGAGCAGCAGGACCCCGGTTTGGATCCCACATTAGGGCCAGTGACACTGTGCCCTCTACAGCTAAGATGGTGAACAACAGCTCGACCTGGAGCTGGGCTGCCGTGAGTCACTGGCAACGGTGTAGGCTGCAGTGGGGCTGGCTGGCAGCTGGCGTGAGCTTTCATGAACTGCCATGAGCCACCGTGATCGGCCATCTAATGGCCAGTGAGCAACTGCCTCACCCGGGAAGAGCGCAATGACAATACCAACATGGGCCAGTGAAGCAACATCCTCCACAACTAGACTGAAGAACAAAAGGACAGCAACTTGTCTGTTCCCCTTCCCTGATTCCCCAACACTGTTCCCCTCCCCAAATTCCCCAATAAAAATCTTCCAAAAAAATGAAAAAGAAGAGAGGAGCTGTGTTCAGACAAACCACAGAAATCACATGGAATAATCCCATTGGTTCTCTAATTACAACAGAGGTAGATGTGCAATATTGTTAATAGATCATAAAGCTCAAAAGAATAATCTGGGACAGGTAAAAATTTTTATGGAGACACAGGGATAGATTCTAAGAGCAATTACATTCTATATTGTTTTCACACTCATGTTTGGGAGACAGGTATTATATAAACAAGTTCATTAACTTTCTTAACTACAACTATCAAAATTAATGTGAAGCCTCTTCACCATTGGTATCTAAGACAGATGGAAATGAGTTATTTAAAGGCAATCTTTTAGTGATATTTTGGGAATAATACCAAGTGGGTTGAGTTTGCCACCTGCCACACAGTTGAATCAACAGATAAATGTGAAAATTATACCAATGAATTGTTACTGATGACCTGTTATAAATTATAGTTCAAATAGTCAAATATGGTGGGAAATAGCAGAAAAGGTACAAAAAGAACAAAAGTAAAAACAAACAAAAAACCTTGCTATTATAGAAGAGTATGTTAGGATGTTTGAAATAAGTAAGGCAATGCAATTTTTAGTTTCGTGATTCAATCAAAAATCCTGCACTGATCTTGTCAATTGATTATATACATCACATAAGCCTGCCCTCATTTGTGGGCAATTGATTTTTGGGATCTGTGTCAGGGGTAGAATTAGTAGCCATGTTGAGTTTGAGAGTTTCTAGTCACCTCTGTTGATGTTAGGAAAATAAAACACATGATCCCATTTTGCATATATTTCAGAAGCCAATTTAAAAATAAAAACAAGGAGGCAGTTCTGAAAAATAAATAACAGAAGCAAGGCTTTTATATAAAATTAAACTAAATTTGGTATAAAAGGGAATTTTTAGAAACACAGATGCATGACAAGAAGACAGCATAATAAAGCACCCCAAGATTTCAAAAGTAAATTATTTGTCTTGAAATTAGCCAAATTTGTTTCAGACTTTTTTTTGGCAGGGGTAAGGGGTTGAATGAATTTTTAGAATCTCTTTTATGACTATCATAGGTGATAGTTTAGATCGTTACTCTATAAAGAAACAGATTTTTGAAGTTCAATCTGAACATTGACAAAAATGATGTCTATTCTTGAGCAACTATATTAACATTAAATGGTAAAGGAGAGTAAGTAATATTTTTTAAATGGGTGTGAAGTGATGCTACCAGTGCTGAAGTGGTGGCATCCTATACAGTATCAGTGAGTAGTGTACCTGTGTGTGGTGAGTGGGTCAAGGTGCCAGGCAGCTTTATATAGAGAGCTGCAGTAGGGTAAGGGAAAAGAGAAAGGGAAAGTAATTTTGATTCCATTTTCCATATCAGTGTTATTATTTCATAATATCTAAAATCTAATCTGGAAGTATTTTGTGGTAAGCTGCACTCATTTTATTCTTACTTCTTTCTCCTAATGCTTATAAAATATGTGACAAAAATGTGTTAAGTACTCATTCAGCTAATTCTGTATGCTATTCCAATTTTCCACTTGCTCAGAAGACCAGGGAGCATAGAGGCTGGAGCCCTATCTTTGAAGAGTCTCATTCCATTAGACAGGGTTAGGTCTGGAAAATCCATTTATTGACAATCTTCTCAGGTGACACTGACAGCCAGCCAGGATTTTAAATCCTAAAGTGTGTCATCTTTCACCCTTCCTGCCTCGTGCAGGGAGCACAATATTTTCTTTGAGATTAATTAATCTCAATAATGATATAATTAATGTATTATTTCTTCTATTTCACATTGCATTTTAAGGTCAGCTTCAATATGTTAAAATAGAGTGTCAGTTCCCTTTCGAGATTCCACCACTTCTGGAATTATCTAAGAATCTAGGTGGGGTGGTTTACGGTCCAAAAGGTTCAGTCTGCTCCCCATGGCCAGTTAGAAAGACAATTGGCAGGTCTAATCTGTTCACTACTGCATGTGTTTCCAGCAATTGCACAGTATTTGGTGGATGCTTGCAGCCATGATCTTGGTGGCTAGATCCTTGCCTAGACCCGACCTCCACAGTTAGGCTTTCTGGTTAGAATTCCCTTCATTTTACACTCATATGTTTGCCCAAACAATGCTGGCCCTGAGGTTTTTGAGATTTGTCTGTGTGTGTGTGTGTGTGTGTGTGTGCCAGAATCAATCTTCTCTCAAAAATCTGTAGACCCTCATGATAAGTTTATCACTTCAGCCCAGACTACCCTGTTTTTATGGTGAGTTGGTGTCCTCACTGGCTATCAAAGTAGTTCTCAAACTTTAACTTGCGTTAAAATTACCTGGAGGATTTATTAAAACAGATTGCTGGGCCCCAACCTCCGAGTGTCTTTTTCAATAAGTGTCATCAACTGAATTGTGTCTGCCCAGCTTACATGTTGAAGATCTAATCCCAGTATCTTACAATGTGACTGTTGGAGATGGGGCCTCTAAAGAGGTAATTAAAGTTAACTGAGGTCATAAGAGTGGGGCCCTAATCCAAGAGGACTGATTTTTTTTTTTTTAATAAGAAGAGGAAGAGACTCCAGAGATGCTCACAAAGAAAGGAAAAGCCATGTGAGGACACAGCAGGAAGGAGGCTATCTGCAAGCCAGAGAGAGTGAGAGAACCCTCAAGAGAAACCAAATCTGTGGACACCTTGATCTTAAACTTCTAGTCTCTGGAACTGTGAGACAATAAATTTCTGTTGTTCAAGCCACCGGGTCTGTGGTGTTTTGTTATGGCCGCCCTAGGAAATTAATACAGTCGGTTTGGGTGGGCTCAAGAATTTGCCTGTCTGACAAGTTCCCAGATGATGCTAATGCTGCTGGTCTGGGGCCCCACTTTGTCTAGCAAATCTGGCTTTTTTGAAAAACTATATTAAACTATTATAAATATGATACTTCTCATTGTGAGTTATATTGAGTGATCTAAGGTTTTTCTTAGCTCTCTTGTTCCACTGTTTAGTTTTTTTTTTTTTTTTAGTTTCAGGTGTACAAAACAATGTAAGGGTTAGACATTTCACCCCTCACAAAGTGATAACCCCAATCTATTGCCCCTCTGACATCGTATATATCTATTACAATTCCATTGACTCTATTCCCTATGCTGTACTCCATATAGTTTTGAGATGCTTGGTTTATCTCCAAAACCCCAATTTTGAATTGAGAATAAAAGAGAAACTTATTAGTTAAAAAACAGTGCAAAAGAAAAACTGTGAATGAATTGCTGATTTAGAGTAGTGCAAAGGTACAGTAGGAAGTGGTAAGAAGAACGTTGGGTTGGGAATCTGGAGAATTAGGAGTCTGAAAACGTAGCTGTGTCTTGATTCTGCCCCTGGCTATCTACAGGACTGGGATAAATTTAAGAACTAATGTTCCTATTTGTTTAAAACTGGTACTAGAATTTATGGTCTTTAAGGTTTTATGCAGTTACAACATTTTATAATTTATTCAATAGCAATTAATGAATCCTGAGGAATGTGATTGACAGTACTTAATATTCTTATCTCATTCCTCTTTCTCAAATCAGTGAATGACCAATGATCATTAGTAGTAATAATAATAGAAAATTTGGGGTCTTCCAAAGGTGCTCTTAGTAAACAGCACTTCTGTTCCCCATCAAGCTTCTAAACTTGTTGAGAAATAAGATAAATGAGAAAAATAGCAGGGTAGGGATCACCTTGATTATTAATAGAGGCTGTGTTGGAAGACATGGCTCTAAGTCTTAGCCACTGATCATGACAAGGAATTGGGACAGGCTCCAGGGTAAGACTGAAGACGTGGAAAAGCAGAACATCTTTGTTCTCTATGATTTGCGGGGCTATGCTTGCTTTTTGGTGCCGAGTGTGAACAGTTATTCTTTCCATGTTTACTAGTCAGAAAAGTCTTTGCCCAGGGGCAGAGCAGAGTAAATAGAACATGGAGAGAGGCCAATGCGACTCTCTGGACACAGAAAAGACCCTCAGTAGTGAGGAGATAAGCTTTATCTCCCACAATCCTCACCACCCCATGAAGTTAATGAAGTTTGCAAAAATGAACCGCTTACCCAGGATCACACGGTTGGGAAGGGCAGGGCCAGGCCTGGAGCCCAGTTCTGACTGCCTCTGGAATCAGCATTCAGAACCACCCTGTCAAAGCTTTAGCTATAGAGAGGGAACTTAGTGGTGTGCGTGCAAATGCTCTTACTGATACATAAGGAAGCTAAGCCCAGGTTAAAAGCCTGGACTTCAGCTCTGATCATCAACCATCACAGCAGTCATTTTCATTGGGTATACTAATTCATTCAATTTTAAGGGAAGAACTATAGCCCCTGCTTCTCTGATTCTTCACCCCATTCTATCCTGCTAGGTTTGCTGATGTTTCAGATCTACTTGGTATATTTCTGCTATCGAACAACTGTAGTGACCTTTGGTTTCACACAAATACAAAACTATTATTTTATTAAAACTCAGAGTTAGTGGGCTAAATAACACAGAAGCACATTCTCAGCATTTACACTTATTCTGTCTAGTTAAAATATATTCTATATTCTTTAGAGTTTGAGGAGGACGACTCCCCTTTAAATCTCTACAACTTTTGAATTTGGAAATTAGATGGAAAAAGGAGTTTATGAAATTAAAGTTCATA